CTGAAAGGAAACATCATGGCAAGTCGCAGTCACACATGGTAAGCGCCGGATGTTTTTCTTTTACGTGATTACCCTAGAATAGGATCTTGGGTGGACTGGACTCGGATGTGAGGAAAATGGTTCCGTATCCAGCGACTCTCAAAAATTGTCGGGAGTCAGTGAGTGAGAAGTTTCTGGAACTGTAACCGAAATACCGCCCGTGGATACTCCCGATGGGCGTTTTAATATAACCTGCAATCCGTCAGCTTCTTCCCACTTCGACTGCGCCCCCAAGCTCTAACTCTTTTTTTGCACGCACACCTTATCTGTTGTGTACTTCCATGCTACGAGTCTGCTCTGTCTACCCTGCCCCCTGATCACAATGGCGATTAGCATCCCTGGAGTACGCAACGGTGTTACTAATCATGACTGTGATACCCAGGCCTTCGAGAATGCGTCCACCAATGTTGCAGCCTCCCAGATGCACAACGCCCTCAATGCGCTGGCCGATACCGTGACGGATCCCAAGGAGAAGAAGCGTTTCGAGGCAGAGATGGATAACTTCTTTTCGCTCTTCCGACGGTATCTGAATGACAAGGCCAAGGGCAATGTGTTGTCGTGGGATTCCATCGCGCCACCGCAACCCGGCCAAGTCGTCGAGTACAGCAACCTAGGCAATTCCGCCTCCGTCAACTTCTTGAAAAAGCTGGCTGTGATCAAGCTGAACGGAGGCCTCGGCACTTCCATGGGCTGCGTTGGGCCTAAGTCTGTTATCGAGGTCAGAGACGGCATGTCCTTTTTGGACCTGGCTGTCCGGCAAATCGAATACCTGAACCGCACCTACGACGTGAGCGTGCCTTTTGTGCTCATGAACTCCTTCAACACCGACGAGGACACCCAATCGATCATCAAGAAGTACGAAGGACACAATATTGACATCTTGACCTTCAACCAATCGAGATACCCCCGTATCCTGAGAGATTCCCTCCTTCCCGCCCCCAAGACCTACCAGTCCCCCATCACTGACTGGTACCCCCCCGGCCACGGGGACGTCTTCGAGTCACTCTACAACTCCGGAACCTTGGACAAACTCTTGGATCGAGGGGTGGAGATTGTCTTCCTTTCCAACGCAGACAACTTGGGTGCTGTGGTCGATATGCGCATTCTGGAACACATGGTGAAGAACAAGGCGGAATATATCATGGAGTTGACAGACAAGACCAAGGCTGACGTAAAGGGTGGCACCATCATTGATTACGAGGGCCGGGCCCGCCTGCTCGAGATTGCTCAGGTACCCAAGGAGCACGTGAATGAATTCAAATCGATCAAGAAGTTCAAGTACTTCAACACCAACAATATCTGGATGGATCTGCGCGCTATCAAGCGCGTCGTCGAGAACAACGAACTGGAGATGGAAATCATCCCCAACGAAAAGTCCATCCCAGCAGACCGCAAGGGCGAGGCGGACATCTCCATCATCCAGCTTGAAACCGCCGTTGGCGCCGCCATCCGACATTTCAAGAACGCCCACGGGGTCAACGTCCCACGCCGCCGTTTCCTGCCCGTGAAGACCTGCTCCGATCTCATGCTCGTCAAGTCTGACCTGTACACCCTCAAACATGGCCAATTGGTCATCGACCCCAACCGGTTCGGAGGCACCCCGCTGATCAAGCTCGGCAGAGATTTCAAGAAAGTCTCCGATTTCCAGAAGCGGATTCCCAGCATTCCTCGAATCCTCGAGCTTGACCACCTCACCATTAGCGGTGTGGTTAATCTTGGCCGCGGGGTTATATTGAAAGGGACTGTTATCATCGTTGCCACCGAAGGCAGCACTATTGACATCCCGCCTGGCTCAGTTCTGGAGAACGTTGTTGTGCAGGGGAGCTTGCGGATCCTGGAGCATTAAGCTAACAGTTTCTCTCTCAAACCAGCACCGCTTCTTCTCTCTCTCTCCTCTCTCTCTCTCTCTCTCTATCTCTCTCTCTCTCTATATATATATATATCTCTCTCTCTCTCTCTCTCTCTCTCTCTCTCTCTCTCTCCCTCCCTCCCTCTCTCCCCCCCCTCTCTCTCTCTTCTCCCTTTTGATCTCCCTTTACAACTGATGGTTTTATTTGAGCAAGGCATGATTACGGGCGTTTGAAATCCAGGCATAATTTTCGGCTGGATTGTAAGCTCATGTTAAAACATGTTCTTCTATTGTTCTCCTTGCGTACCTTATATCGACGACAATTTTCCTCCCATGGAGCAAACACTGTTCACTTATGTTACTGTTTCTCCGTTATCTCCTTTCGCTAATTATGGGTCCCCCCTTCCCTTTTTTTTTTAAAAAAAAGAAAACCTTGAACCCTTCCGCTGCTGAATGTTCCTCCTTGTCTCGTTACCTTGAAATACCGAGATCTGGGAGATGGCTTAGCAGGGACCGTGACCCCTCTCATCCACCATACATAAACACCCTTTTTTCCTAATTTACAAAAGAAAAAGAAAAAGAAAAAAAAAAAGAAAAAAAAGAAATATCGATACATCGTTAGGTGAAATATGTGGACAAACATGTATAAATAAGAAGAAAAAACCACAAAAAATCCAATGAAAGTTGTTTTCATGTCTCAATATACAATTGCTCTAGTTTCCCTTTCATCGACGAAAATGCAACGGGTATCAGATTTATCATGCTTTTCGCTAAAGCACCCATTTACTAGAATTTAGTCGCAATGATATATTATCACCACCATGGTTCCAACAGTGCAAGGTTGAACAAGGTTTGATGAATTGTGGTGATAATTATTATACCACGACAGATAAGCAAGATCAGCGCTGGAAGGGGGAACCCTAAAAGAATCTATCTATACAACCTCGCCACAGCCCACTTAACTTGTAATAAAAGACGAGGAGGAATCCCGCGTCTCCCATAGAAGCAAACTCGCAGAGCAAAGTTGTAACTTCGCCGTTGGGAGAACAACCCACGGTAATTGATCTCTCCGAAGGTTATTCAACTATAACTAACTGATGGCTTTAATTACTCAGGCATGAGGTCAGCAACGGGGGGGGGGGGGGTTCAAATTGCGTCGAACTAGCCATTAGTCGTTAGCCGAAATCTAAATTACGTGTGTGGAGGGGGCACGTGACCAGGGTGGTAGCGGGTGCCCAGCCAAACAGGCGGAGAAGGGTGACGTAAGACAACAAAGCTTACTCTGCCAAAAAACCAGCGCACTTTTCTTCCGAATTTTTTTTTTTTTTTTTTTTTTTTTCTTTCTCTCTCTCTCTCTCTCTATCTCTCTTGTTGTTAACTTAACTAAGTAGCTGACTAGTTTTATCTAGCTAGTTAGCTAGGACTAGTGACATCAGTAATATTCAACCGGTTTATTTATAACATATATATATATATATATATATATATATATCCATTATTTCAACTATCATATGGCTTCTTTCTCACAGCTTGGCACAACAGGCTCTCAAGTTATTTAGTTCCTGTTGACCTAAACTGCGGGTCTCCGTCATACTTACCCGTGATTCTGCCGTAAGATTTGAACCGACCCATCCACTTACTCGTCTCTCCCCATTTCTTCCCTGCTCCGGTCTCCGCGACCTCTTTTTCTCCCCTTGTAAAACCTCATCCATATCAAGTGTGTTCGCTGGCGCGTCCTGTAGAGCCCCAGTATCCTCACCTAACCTCCTATCCGGCCTCTCCCTTCTTTGTGTCTTGCTTGGAACTTGACGGTTGTTGAATCCATTCTCAAAGCCGTCCGTACCTTGAAAAAAAAAAAAAAAAAAAAAAAAAAAAAAAAAAAAAAAAAAAAAAAAAAAAAAAAAGAAAGAAAGAAAGAAAAGGAAAGAAAGTGCGCTTTTTAAAATATCCCATACTCCCTCACGGTTTCATGCCATCGATTTACCCTCAGTCACCGCCCTTGATTTTCTTTCTTTTTATTTGCCAATCCGCCCTCCTAAATAGTGACATCTCTACGAACTTCTTCACCATCATCGTCAATGCCTTGACCTGCGAGACTTTCACGAGTTCGTTTCCTTTCTTTTCCTTTGATATACGTTTTCCAACTGCTGCGGATCCCCGACCCCGAATTGCGCTAGGTACACCCTGCAAACCCCGTAATTTGGAAAGAAGAGGAAAGAAACCGAAGGATTGGGATAAGGAAGAAGGTCGCAATGCTACCGAAGCTTTCACTAGCCCAGCATGTCCATTGCCACAGAAGCAACCGGTCCTCCGTAAATAGTGCGTCAGGAGCCTCCGCCTCTATATCCATGCATTGCCGCCACTTTATTCTCCATGTCTTCCGCAACCTCCCGTTTCTAGCTCAGAGCTGCGCCTGAAAGGCCTTCTAACTGTTTGTGTTGCGGTTGTATAGATAGTGTCTCGTCGCTAGATGAACCGAGCAGGTCCTGTTCACCTACCATGGGAGAGGAGACGGTGATAGAGCCGGAACAAGGGAATGGTGAATGCTCCCCCCAACCTCTGCAGGAGGTGCAATTTTCATGTAAATTCAAGGATACTGATTCTTTTTACGTTTTGTTTTATCTTTAACAAAATTGGACAGTCCTCAGTCATATAATTGCCCAACTACGGCCCGGTGCGGACTTGGGCCGGGTCACTCTACCTACTTTTATACTGGAACCTCGATCGATGCTGGAACGAATCACCAAGTGAGCTTGATGGATTATATATTTCCCGCCCTTGCTCTCAGTGGAGGAATAAGCAAATGCTAACGAAGAAAAATTTAAACTGTGGACAGTTTCATGGCTCATCCCGAAACCCTTCTTCCGATGCCGACTATTGACGATCCTGTCGAAAGATTCGTTTCTGTGGTTAAATTCTACCTTAGTGGGTGGCATATAAAACCTCCGTGCGTATTGAAGAAGATCCCATCTACCCCATACGCGAACATAACGGTAACTAATAAAATTTTTTTTTTTTTTTGTGGCCCTTGGTGGGATATTAGAGGGGTTAAAAAACCATTGAATCCCATCTTGGGCGAAACGTTTACATGTTATTGGGATTATCCTGACGGCACCCGCAGCTTCTACATCGCTGAGCAGACTTCCCACCACCCTCCAAAGTCGAGCTACTTTTTCATGGCCCCTGAACACTTCATACGAATAGACGGTACCTTGAAACCGCGGGGCAAATTTCTAGGAAATTCTGCGGCAAGTTTGATGGAAGGGATAGCAATATTATCTTTCTTGAATAGGGGCGAATACGGGAAGGGTGAAAGATAGTATGTTTAAAATTGTTGATGAATGGCAACGGGCTTCATTTGCTAATTACTTAATTGGCAGTATCGTCACGCAACCAAACATGTACGCTCAAGGTATACTCTGGGGAAAGCTGAAGTATGAGCTCAAAGGCCACAGCGAGGTGAAATGTCCCGAGAACAATCTGACTGCAGACATAGAGTTCAAAACCAGGGGTTACTTTTCTGGAACAGACAATTCAATAGGGGGTTTCATAAAAAACGAGAAAACTGGTGAGATACTTTATGAGCTCTCGGGGCTCTGGAACGCTGAAATGTTTATAAAGAATGTCGCTGTATGTGCATGCAACGCCGCCTACTTCCATTTTTATTGTGTTCTTAGTCTGACACAGCATGCAGACTGGCCAAAAGGACCTTCTTTTCAACGCCAGGAATGCGAAACATACGCCACCTCTCGTCAGGCCACTCGAGGAGCAGGATCCACGCGAATCACAGAGGCTTTGGTATAAGACCGTCCAAGGCTTACTTGCTCGGAACCAGGAAGTTGCCACTGAGGAGAAAACCAAGGTCGAAGATATGCAACGGCTAGAGGCATCAAAACGCGTGGAAGATGGTGTTGAGTGGCGGCCTAAACTTTTCCGGGCAGTTCGAGGTGGTCCAGGTGGACCAGAGGAAGGGGAGGAGGATCTTGATTGGATTCTGAAGGCGCATGTGTAAGGATTTCCTACCTGCCCCTCTTTTTCGTATCTTCCTAATTTGTATCTAACCCTTTCATCACAGAGATCCTTTTAACCCGACCTTGGCAACGAAGCAGATCTTATCTGTCGCACCAATTCTCCCTGGCCAAAAGCCATCCCAACAATTCGCAATACCGCCCCACTCAGCACGATCGAGTGGAGACACCCCGTCATCATCCGGAAAATCTGCATCAATACCAACAACGGCAGCATCGGCAACCACAAGGCACAATGGCAATTTAATAGACTTTGGCGAGAGTAACGGGAGCAACGGCAACGCACACTCCGATGAGAACAAAGTTTCAAAGCTGGGGCCATCAACAGGGAATACGACGGCTTCCATGGATCTCCTGGGTGGAGGTGGAGATGGCCATGATGACCATACCCATCACCGCGTTCAATCCTCCGCAAACCCCCACCACATGTTGGATCTCATGACGCCGTTGCAGCCCACAATAAGCCAAACGCAAAGCCGACCAATGCATAGGCAGGATTCCATCGAGTCGGACAACGATGAATTCGTTGATGCGCGGGATTGAAGGGGGCACCAAAAGGAATGGAGGACGTACTTTTTGCGTTACCGTCAACAACGGGCATGCATGGCAATTGCGGATGAGCCCCGATTCAGCGCACGCGAAGATTTTATCATTAACTCACCCTACCCGCTCCCTCCTTAAAAAACATATTTTGGTTTATCTCACCTAGCTTCTTATATCATTATTGTCAGGGTCCCCTCCTGCCTGATTATTCTTTGGATTTTTTGAACCTCCACCTACCTACTACCTAATTTATATCCTAGGAAGACAGAAGAGAAAGCAGCAAGCAGAGGATATATATTCTAGAACTGGCATCATGGAATTAAACACATGGAGTCCTTCATCTTTTGTTTGATCTTTGACAAGTGCATACGGGCAGGGAAGAAAAGGGAGAGAGGGAGGGAGGGAGGCATGATAGCAGTAAAAGGGGGGACTAAGGAGAACGGCAAGCAAAGTGAAAAAAGAACCATTATCAGATTCTCCCTCATAACCTGCATACAAACTTACTCATTGTTATGATGATGACTATTATTTATTATATTGGCATTAGCTTTAGCATCCATCATGAATCATGATAATGATTCTTTTGCTTTTGTTTTGTTATTGCATTACTGTTTCTGCCTCGCTCTCGTTCCTCCTTTCAGTCGATTGGTTCAGGAGATTGACAAAAGAAAAAAAGGGGAGGGGGTGGAGGAATTTCCAATTTCTCACTAGTTAACAGAACCACTTTTAACCAAACCGTGTTTTTCTTTTTCTCTTTCTTTTTCATCCCTACACTGATTATATATATATATATATATATATTTCAATTTGCATGGCCTTCCTTAACAGTTTTATATAGAATAAAAGAAGCATCAGTATTACATATCAACCAAGGTTTGAAGGGAACGTTATCTGAAGTTGTTGACGCACCATTGGCATATCACCTTGAAAGTTTGATGTACAGTGGGTTGATTAGCTGGTCTCTTCCTATCTGTAACTAGGCAAGAAGGAGAGGGATGAAGGAAGAAGATAAGGCAAATCAAAAGGGAACCGAAGAAACTTTGAGAGGGAACCCTGACGTAGTATGCATGCATCTGTTGGAGACTCCATATAAGTGGCAAGAAAAAAATGGAAAAAAAAGAAAAGAAAGAAAAGAAAAGAAAAGAAAAAGAAAATGGCAAAAAGATCTATTCCAGAAACCGAAGAGGAACTCCCGTAACCAGCCATTCCATCCATACCATGTATTAATACATGAAACAAAACAATACCGTAAACCTAAACACGAATCGTGGGGGAAACAGAACAAAACAATCTAGATATCTCAAAAAGAAATCGGGAAATGAAAATGAAAAAAAAAAAAGAAGGAAAATACAAAAGACAATAAGCAACCTCAGGCATACAACTCCCCGCTAATCCCCAAACCCTTCTCCAAACCCTTCCTCTTACTGCATTTCCCCCCACTGCTCCCCGCCCCTTCCCTCTCCTCCTTCTCCTCCTCCAGCCTTTCCTTCTCCTCCTCAATCTCCTTCTCAACATCTTCCCGTAATCCCATGATATCCGGCGGAATATGGCGCATCTGCACACTCGGCGCGCCCTTGAGATACCGCAGTTGCTCCAGCACCGTCTGCGTCACGATCTCCAGATATGCTTTGGTGTTGCGATTCTCCAGCCTGCGCATGTCCGACAACGGCGGGAAGAGCGTACAGTCGGGCTTGAAATGGTTGCGGAAGGGGAGGCAATCCGGCAGCTTGGGGTTTAGCTGGGACGCGGCGTCGATGCAGATTGCTGTTTCGTAGGCCCAGAGTCGCGAGACGTTGCGCGGTGTGTACCCGCCCCCACCCAAGACGAGGGTTGGTAGGCCGAATGTCTTCGTGTATGCGACGCAGGCGCCATGCGCGCGGATGTTGAGGTTGAAGCAGCCTAGTCTGTCACATCCCAGGCTGTCCGCGCCGCACTGCAGGACGATGGCGCCGGGTTGGTAGGTGCGGATGCAGGGGCCGATGATGGATTGGAAGAGGGAGACGTAGTCGCCGTCTTCTATGCCGTCATGCAGGGGAACGTTGAGAGCATGGTGCGCGCCTGGGTTGAGTGGGTTTGGCGGACCCGTGTCATCCAGCCCCCCCGTGCCGGGGAAGAAGTTTGTCTTGTCGTACTTGTGGAAGGAGACGGTGAGGACGCGGTCTGTGGACCAGAACGCCTGCTCGACACCGTCGCCGTGGTGAACGTCTATGTCTATGTACATTACGCGCGGGTACAGGCGGAGGAGTTGCAGGATGCCCAGGACGATGTCGTTGATGTAGCAGAAGCCGCTGGCTTCGGATTTCTTGGCGTGGTGGAGGCCGCCGGACCAGTTGATGGCAATCGCGGATTGGTTGTTGCAGAGCTTGCGTGCGGCGTCAAGAGTGCCGCCGGCATAGTGTGAGCAGTAGTTGAAAAGGCCGTCGAAGACGGGACAGTCGTCGCCAATGTTGAAGCTGGAGATGCGATCGCTGAGCGCCGTGTCGTCCATGTCTGCTGGGATGACCGATTGGAGGAAATCGAGGTATTCTGAGCTGTGGAATTCAGCCATCTCTTCATAGGTGGCCTGGCGCGTCTTGTACAGGTCCATGGCATGGTGCATGCCATAGGCCATGACAATTTGTTTGGTCAAGGTCAGTCGCCATGGTTTCATGGGATGCGACGAGCCAAAATGATGCGGCTCGACCAAAGGATTTGCATGCCATGACACTGTGTATCCCTTTGGGCGCTTGAAGCCTTCATTTTCTATTTCATGCGCAGTCTTGCGGTCCGTTGTTAGGGTCGTTTGGGCCACAGGCGGAGGGGCGTATTCCTGGACAATCGTTGATCTCGCCATACGAAGAGCCAGAAGGCAAGTTTCAAAGAGTGCGAATTTAGTGTTGATGATATTCACGATATTATCATGTTCGGTCCCACTGATTCCCTGAGACAAAAAAAAACAAAGAGAGTGGGTGTCTCGTAGCCCAGATGTCTAATATGCGATATGGCGATGTGTGTGTTATAATAATGATATGCGCATTTCTCGTCGAAGTTTTGGATGTAGGCGAATAAATATCCTTGGCCACAGGAAGTTTGAACATCAAATCAAGGTCCAATCACGGGACAGAGCTCGGATTATGCGCCACAGCAACGACCTGGCTCTAGGCCCAATACGGCTAGTATCCACGCCCCACTGTGGCGATTCCGCCGCCTTATCAATCTCAGTGGTCCGTGCACACGCGTGACTAACTAATGCCATTTTTTTTTTTTTTTGTACTAGCGTCTGTTTTCTCCAATGGATTTCTTTGTGGACATCGTTCATCTGTCTTCCCTTCTTCTTCATCTCCAATTACCTGCTGCTGTCGACATCTCACAACACTCAACGTTGACACCCTGACTCACGTAACGACTTTCTTGCCAACGCATATTCAAACAGTGCGCTACAGTTGGACCCCACTGTACACGGATAGCTGAAAGTTAAACGTCCACTTGTCCACGATCACTGACTGCACTGTGATTGCACTGTGACCAGATGGGACATCGCCCGTGACCCAAGTTTGAGTTGGCCCTTCTGTGTGTTGATGTATCGGAGTGGGCTGGCTTAGTGAGTATGGCACATACAGAAGACTGTTCAACTGTTCTGGAGCAGTTCGTTCATGATGGTAGGTGCTCTCTTGAAGCTGCTATTTCAATGTGATCCAACTAACAGACACATCCGATACAGTTGCGAACTTGCCCGCGGAGATTACCCACCTGATGGAGGAAATTCAAGCTAAGGATAAAATAATGCAAGAATGCCGTATGACGATAAATTCCCGCGACAATAGTCTGCAAAAATTCATCAAACAGCATGGAAGCCACGTTCCCAACCCCAAGGAAGACAGCTACAGCAGGACGATATTACAGAACTTGGATCGCAGCCAGGTGCTACAGGATGACAAGATCCAACTGAGCGAGAAGGCATGCATGTTGCTCGATCGCCAAATCAAGAAGCTAGACATTAAGATTCGAGAGCTTCAAAATGATGGGGTCCTTTCAAAAGATCCACCCATCCCATCCCTCTTCCGAAATAAAGACCAATTCCGCGAACCGCAAAAGCCAATCTTGCCAGAACAAGCACCAGCAGAAACATCATATGCCTCACCTCTCAACCCAACATCTGGGAATTCGGCTCTACAATATAACCTCCCCCATAGAGCAAACAACACCATAACTGGACGCTCAGCATCCTCCGCAGCGGCCCTTGCCGCCTCGCAAACCAATGTCCGAAATTCCGCTCCCGCTACCCCAGCCTCCGCCATTCTCCATCTTCAACAGCGTCGCGAGTCTTCCGCAGGTGCCGTGGATAATAAACGTAGACGCCTCAACACATCACTCGGAAACGTTCCAGCTGCTTCCTCGAACCTACGCCAATCGTCCCTTGGCCCAGGCACGCCAAAACCAGGTACTCCAGTAGCATCACGTGCGGGAAGTGTAGGGCCCCGCGCCACAACGGTAGCAAAAAAGCCACCGCCCAAGAAGGTAGCGCCGCATCAGCAACAGGCACGGCGCAAGACAGCGACGGTGGGGAAACCCACAAAGCGTTCATCAAGTGGGAATGGCCGTCTAAAGGTGATTACGGCGAATATCGCGGCTGCCGCGGCATCAAGGAAGAAATCGCCATCCTCCACCACTGGCCTTGTAGAAGAGGAAGAGGAAGAGTCTGTCCTTAGCAGCGCTGAGGTGTCGGAATCGGAAAATAATCTGCCGGCGTCGAAACGGAATGCTGGGGCGCGTGGCGCTGGTGCTGGTGAATCTGAGGGGGAGGCTGATGAGGAGGAGGATGAGGGTGGAGAGGATACGAAGACTTATTGTACGTGTCGCAGTGTTAGTCATGGTGATATGGTGGCGTGTGACAATGATGAATGTCCCTACGAGTGGTTTCACTGGAAGTGTGTTGGGTTGACGAGGGAGCCGTTGGGGACTTGGTATTGTGATGAGTGTAGGAAGAATTTGGGGAAGTGAGGAGGTTGTGTACGTCATTATATGAGACATAGGTTATGGATCAACGGAATATATCCAAGTAGTAGAATTTTGAGAGATTGGACAAATACTTCTGCTTTCCATGACCTTGGATCAGAGTTCGATAGTCTATCTACCTTCTTTTAGGGACTTTTCTTGAAGGAAATAAACGAGGATATGAACATTCCACGACAAATGAAAAAGAGAAAAACTTGGGCAAATACTTTGCAAAATCAACTTTGTTCCGTTTCCAATCATATTCCCTCCCCCAGCTGGCTTTTATTCAAGTGGAAACGAAAAATGCCCTTCAAACTCCGTCGCTATGCTTAATGCTACACAATATGGTATATCAAAAATAATTTTGTGGAGGGATTGTGGATGATCGTGTCAGCGCACAGAACTCGCACAATATATATGGTTCAGCATATGATCCTCTATACATTGCTTCAATGGGGAATAAATCAAACCTCAAAAGGTAACATAGAATCAGGGCCAATGTCGTCGTAGTAGTCGTCATCGTTATTGTCGTTTACGGGTTAAGTGAGAGGCAGAGAGGAGTCGAACTCCCAGGGATTTTGACCGCCAGACCACCACATTCAAAATGCCATCGATTTCTTCAACCATTCGTCAAAGTATTCGCAATTCGTTGCATTGACCGGACCACCTTCCTGGCACAGCGTGAACACAGGACATCGTCCGCACGGAGCCTCTGTCATGCCATTTCCACCAAGGATGAGGCTATCCTGATCCGCGTTGTTTCCGCCCTTTTTGTCGCCTGTTTGTAAACCCAGATCGCGCTGCAGGGATATCTGGTTTGGTTTCTTGACGCTCTTGTATGCAGCTCCGTCACGAAGTGAGATCAGTTTCCCATCAAAGCAAAGCATCTCGAGCAGTTGTGAGATGCTAGATTCGCACAGAGTGACGGGGGTAAGGCCCGAGTTGTTGATGGCGTTCGTGATATCCGTCACAGTCGGATATCCGCTGTAGGACGGTAGGTATGGTATATATTGGGGTTCACCCTTGGAACTATCTTGGCGGACTTTCTGTCTCTTGACCTTACGCTCTGCAGCTGCCTGGTCAAACCAGCTTCTCGAGCTCACCCAGTGTTCAATCCAGCCCCCTATACCGCGGATAAAGTCAACATCCAAAACTCCATCCGTAAACCATGCACCTCCGGTAACATCTTCGCTTGGCTGCAGGCCGGACAGCATGTACATTTTCCTCTGCGGATATTTGACATTGCGCACGGATTTGATGTAGTTTTTCGTCTCCAGGGATTTCAGGGAGCGGTTTACGATGGTCTGGTGAAGATTGGTGCGCGTTTTGATTGTTCGTGTCCAAACACCACCGCGGCCCGTCGATTCGACCACGCTGTAAATGAGACGTTCTTCCGCATTGAGGTTTTGAAGTCTGTCAAGGGTTAGTTTCCATATCAGACGAATCCCACACAATTGCCCCGTAGCGTTTAAAGAAAATTAAAATTATATTAAAAATAAGCAAAAACAAACATAAATAAAAAATTATGTCACCACACTTACTTTTCGGCATCTGCCTGCGCAATGATTTTCCAAGCAAGACGGTCATCACTTCCGTAAAGTATACGCATCAAGCTCTGGTCCACGAGTGACTGCGCACATTTCATTAACAGGGAGAGGTCATTTTTGGGGATGATACCCAAGTTGAGCAAATCTTGCTGGTAGAACAAGTGATCGGGAGGGAAATCGGAAAGGCATCGCGCATAAAGAGCTGCGGCCAGCTCCTTATGGTCTGCCATTTCGACCCCCTTCGCAGAACTAACAGAGGAGGTGGGCATGTTTGAAGACAGGAGTGGGATCTCCAGGTTCAAGCGGAGGAGCAAGGATCACTGTGAAAGAGTCATAGTCAAGCAGTGATCCTCCATCCGAGTCAAACCTGCAAATGTGCGTCCAAAACTATAACATGGAGATGGAAGATGGGATGAAAGGACAAGGAGGTTGTTGGTGAAGAGTGCCTGGTTGTGTGTTTGTTGTATACGTTTAAGTCGCCTGCGCCCTCTTTTTTTTTTTCTTTTTTTTTTTTTTTTTTTTTTTTTTTTTTTTTTTTAAATGTGGGGGAGTCTCATTTCCTAATCGGGAAGGAGCTGGTTGGAATTTCGAGCTCCAAACGCCGCAGTATTGTAATTACAGTATTCTTTCCTGTAACTTGCAGTGTGGTACCTATGTAAACATACAAATTCGGGTGGGGCATTAAGTCATCGGTAAGCATCCGCAACCTTACGCTGCGTCAGCACTTGTACCGACTGAGCTCGAAATTTCCAGAAGCTTTTGTTGGACGCGAACAGGTTAAACATTACACCAATCCCCCGCTCATTTTTCCCCTCCTGATTGTTTTTTTTTTCTTCAGCAGTCAACAAACTATCTTCTGCCTGCTACTGTCTTGTCTTATTGTATACCAGTTTAGTATTTCCCAGTCGCCGTACTGATTAAACCTAATAAAATAATGGCTGATGCTCTGAAGGCGGAGGGTAACAAAGCCTTCGCAGCGAAGGACTTCAGTTTGGCAGTGTGAGTGCTTGTTCAAAGAGCTGGTTGTGGTTGATGTTATAATTATACCCCTGTTAACAGTGCTTGAGATAGTGAGAAATTCTCTGAAGCAATAGCAATTGAGCCGGAGAACCATGTTTTATACTCCAATCGCTCTGGAGCCTATGCCTCCCTCAAGAACTTCCAAAAGGCCCTCGAGGATGCGAATAAGACAACAGAGCTTAAACCAGACTGGGTGAAGGGTTGGGGCCGGAAGGGAGCGGCAATGCATGGACTGGGCGATCTGAGTAGGTCTTAAAAAGAAATCTATTGCCTTTTTACCTATCATGTATTCTCGTGTCCCGTAAAAGGTGACTAACTATTCCCCAGTTGGTGCCAATGATGCCTATGAGGAAGCCCTCAAACTTGACCCCTCTAACGCACAGGCCAAAACCGGACTTGAGGCTGTCAAGCGGGCAATCGACGCGGAAGCCAGGGCGGATGGTCTGGGCGGGGACCCGACCGGTGGCTTGGGAAGCATGTTTAATGACCCACAATTGATCACCAAACTTGCCTCAAACCCGAAGACATCCTCTCTGTTGGCCGATCCGGACTTTATGGCGAAGCTTCAGCGTGTGAAGCAGAATCCAAACAGCATCGGAGAGGAGTTGAGAGACCCCAGATTCCTCCAGGTAATGAGTGTGTTGCTTGGGATTGACATGTCTTTTGCCCAACCTCCGGAGGCTGGAGGCTCTGCGAGGGAGCCAGAAGAGGATGTCAAAATGCACGATGCATCACAACCTAAGAAAGAACCAGAGCCAGAGCCAGAGCCAGAGCCCGAAGATGAGGAGGCTATTGAGAAGCGGAAGGCCAAGGAAGCTGGTGATAAAGAGAAGCAACTTGGTACAGAAAACTATAAGAAACGGCAATTCGACGCTGCGATCGAGCATTACAACAAGGCCTGGGAGCTGAACAAAGATATCACATATCTCACTAACATTGGAGCTGCTAAATTTGAGAAGGAAGATTATCAGGGGGCTATTGAAGTTTGCGAGAAGGCCATTACCGAAGGTCGAGAAATGTTGGCTGATTTTAAGATCATCGCAAAGTAAGTTGGAAAGTTACTGCACTACTATATCATCTGTACTTACGTGCCTGGAATAGGGCCTTCGGAAGAATTGGCACCTCGTATGAGAAGCTGGGAGACCTGTCAAACGCTATCATCAATTATCAGAAATCGTTGACCGAACACCGTACACCAGATATCTTGACCAAACTTAGAAACGCGGAAAAAGCTAAAATCAAGGCTGAGAAAGATGCTTACATCGACCCAGAAGAAGCAGAAAAGGCAAGGGAGCTTGGTAACCAAAAGTTCAAAGATGCAGACTGGCCGGCTGCTGTGGATGCTTACACTGAGATGACGAAACGGGCGCCTGATGATCCACGTGGATACAGCAACCGTGCAGCAGCATTGATCAAACTTATGGCTTTCCCAGGAGCTGTTCAAGATTGTGATGAAGCGATTAAGCGAGACCCGAAGTTTATTCGTGCATACCTAAGAAAAGCGCAGGCTCTCTTTGCCATGAAAGAATACAATAAATGCATGGACGTATGTACGGAAGCAGCCGAACATGACGAGACAGGTGCCCATGCACGGGAGATCGACCAACAGCAGCAAAAGGCACTCGAGGCTCAGTTCAGTGCTCGTGCGGGTGAAACCGAAGAGCAAACTGCAGAGAGAATCCAGCGCGATCCTGAGGTATGTTTTGTATAACTGCTCCCAGACCATAAAATATGAAATGTCACTAATCCGTCTTCACAAACTTTATAGATTATGTCCATCCTTCAAGATCCCGTCATGCAGAGTATCCTTCAACAAGCCAAGAGTGACCCAGCCGCTCTACAGGAGCACATGAAGAACCCAGGCGTTCGGGTGAAGATCCAGAAACTGGTGGCTGCGGGTGTTATCCGCGTGGGAAGATAGATATCGCTTATGGATTTCCATCGCTCATGGCTGCTTATTGATCTCAATACGGAAACAAACTGATAAGAGATATTTGACTGCCACTGTTATTCTATTTATTTGGTCATTCATTGACGTTTGAATTGGAAGAAGGAAAGTACTCATTCCATTCAGAAGTGCTGCTTAACCTATGTTACCGGTGGGATATGAGACAAAGTTAGAAGATGAGCTGATCCGAGGAATTTCAAGGTTTAATTGCTATGTTATTCATTTCCTTTCTATATATTGAGCATCGTTGGAGCGTGTTGATTTGAAGTTACGTATCGTTTGATACCATACTACCATTAAAAAGATGAAAAATAATACTTCATGAATCCAGGAGACCCGCCGTTATTATCATAATCTCTACCGCGTCGTTGAAGCTAGTTGAATCTAAAATCGCAAAAATAAATAAATAAAAGTAAAAGTAAAAGCACTCGTTGAATATTGAGATGACCACGAATAGTTTTCTGGGTGAAAGCATCACCGAAGAGCCGGCTTCGATGTATCGTAGCATCAACTCTCAAAACCCCATATTGCGGCGCGGCACCGACAACCCCCACTTCCTTCACAAATTCATCCCATGCGTGTAGCGATTCCTGCAATTTTTCCGCATTCTCCTCACTCAAGTCCCTTGTTCTCCAAGATCCTATTTTCCACCATCCCTTGCAAACCACCTAATACCCAAAAAGTTCCCATTCCATCACCGTACCCTCTGCATAGATAATAAATCACCATCTGACCCATTACTATTGCTATTACAGCATGTTAAAAATAGATCCCAAGATTTACCCCTTACGGGTACAACTTCCCGTCCCTTGAAGGCAGGATATGGATGCGTGATCCCTGCCAGATAAAGGATTGTCAGCGTTATATTCATAACCGTTGCAAATGCAAGCTCAATAGCTGTCCTCGCTTATTGCTGCGGCTGACCGTTCTCTTTGGACCTTGTTCACGTATAACAGCTGTTTAACGGCAGATATCTCAGCAGGAGTGGGACACTTATGCCCCCTTTAGCCGTGAACCTTTTATACAACCATGAAGGAGCAGTCAGTCGCTGCAAATGCCCAGTGCGGTTCATACCAGACAAACGAGTTCGCCCGTCCAATATTCTCAAGCTAATTGCCATAGCATTTACTAATATGTTTGAAAATATCCGCAGCGATAACACGGAATGCTTCGAGAAGCAATCCCTCTGCCCCATTGTCGAAATGAATATGATAAATGTATTATCCAGCTCGCCGGATTCGTGGGGCCGTTCAGGAACACGTCCTATCTGCATATCCATCCGTTGCACCATGCCCGCATATGCCGTTCCCCCATCGTTCGCAACGAATAGCGCTTCTCGTCATTAGTCAATGTCTCCCATTCACCGGAAAGAGTACGATCTCCAGGAGCAACTACATCATGCGCCACGACATGTTGTGGAGTGAGATCTAGTTCATTTAGCCTTTTTATTCTCTCTTTCAGCCTCTGGGCCGTTGTCGTAACGACCTCGGCAATCCTGGAAGTCCTGATCGGGAGCTTGGAGAGCCAAGTGTGGTGCTGAGAGTGGGAGATATCCGAAGAAGGGTTACTCCTTTTGCATATCTGTGCTATCGTTCTGATACTCATGAGTTTATCTGCGAATGCATCTGTAGAGTAGAAATTGGGGTCAAGCTCCGAGAGGTTGATTTCCTTTTCGTCTTCTACATTGAGAAATGGGGTGGATTCAAAGATGCCTGGTAGTTCGTCTGAATTCTGAAGTTGGGGCTCCCATCCCATATGGTTTGCAGCCCCCTCTGTCTTGTTATCAGTCTGCGCTCTCAGCTCATAGTGATTAATCGCTTTGGTAGTCATACTGGCAGCAAGGTAAACGCTCTCTCAAACCCCCTTTTTTGACACATACTGATCCGGGGTAAGACACAGGTGCCATTTCCCTGACGTAACCGTATAATAGCCCGCATCTCGAAGTATTTCAGGAACAGCAGCAACTCTACCTCTCAGATATCCTTTGTAACCCAGCTTTCCCCTATGAAGCTCCTGGATAGTCTTAATCATGGCGCCAACACCCGCAGTATCTAGTTTTAGTAGATTAGGTGAGCCATTGATTCAAAAGGAATTCATCTTCCGTCACAGAACTTATCCTGCTTCCTTACGATCATCCGTCCCACTCAGCAACATGCACCTCGTCGGTGAACTTGCCGATGCCGCATGGAAATCTGTGAGCCGTAGTCCATCCCTTGCGAGATAGTCCAGGTTAGGGGGTATTGACTCCTCTCCCAAAGCTCCACCGTCAGAAAATCCGAGGTCATCAGCGACGGGAATGAGGAAATTGGGCCGTTCGGACATTTTCTGAAATATCCTTTGCCTTTCAGACTAATATACTTTGTGTAGCTGGGCAAATTTTTTGGGAGCTCGATCAGCAAGATCCATGGAAGGGTGCAATGCAGAATAACATCGCAAAGGACTCTATGGCTTTTATATAGGGGTCATTTTTTAAGTGTTCTCCCGTTTTCTTCTATAATTACGGGAATGACACTGTCTTATTACACAGTGTAGATAGCGTAACTCTTAATAGCGATGGATTTCTCATGATCAAGGGTGAATTTGTGTGCTCTATTTATCTCAGCTCTATAAGGGGGCATCTGCAGTTTCAATCCCAAGTCTTGTTTCTCGCCCATTTCGCTTCAGATGGGTGAGAACTTCGATAGCAAGTGTATGAGGAGATCTACACGAAGATTGCGCAGCATTAGGGGTGGCATGAGAATTAACCCGAGATGATATGGAGCTCCATCAACAACGCGTCCCGATTTCACCAGAATTTGGAAAACACTTGAAGTACATTGAATCATAGTAAATGAGGATATAGAGAGAGTGGTTAAATATTATAGGACAAGAAATTAGTCGTTAATCAATACTCTTCTTGATACATAAGATATCAACGATAATAGAAACATGATGCAAAAATAGTGCAGACTAAAATATCAGGCTGGCAGATAACTAGTTACCCAATGAACCTCAGTAGAAGTATGTTTTTCCAACCCAACCAGCACTCAGATGCTTACGGTTAGCTAGCACGTATTGCAGAATGGACACATTGACGAAGAAAACGTGAGCTGATAATAGGCAAATACTCACCGTGCACCCAATCACATAGAGGGATCTGTCTTTCTGTCGGAAAATTTGGCTACCGGCAATGCCTGTTGCATTTGCTGCCATGTTGAACATGGCCATTGTAATAGATCTTTCTTCTGCTGAGCGACTATCTACGGCCAACCATGAACCGTTGATGGGATCTATTCATGTTGTCTGTTATCGATCAGTTTTTAATCAAGAGAGTTATAGGTGTATAAAGGCACTTACGATGTACGGCATAAAAGGCGATGGAGAGGGTAAGCATTGCGAATCGGAGATGTAGGTGAGGATATATCATCCAATTAGTTGCCTCTATATAATAAAAAGTTTAGTTGCTCACTCGTGTTGCTAGTGACTCAGGTGCCATTATTTGCGTACCGCTTCTTTTAGTTGTCGCAGTGATATAGAAGCTCGTCTCCTAGCTTTCGTGGGATCATCTTCAATCACTCTTCGGGGTAGAAATGCCGCCTCCCTTTGCGAAAAATAACGAAATCCAACCTGCGAGGTCGGGATTTCCAGTGCTTTCGGAAAGAGTACAATGAACGCAATAACGGTGAGGATTGTGTACAATCCCTCTATCTAAAAGGGTATTAGCCCATACGTAAATCAAAATATATTAAGTTGAGCCTTACGATGAAGAGCCATTGCCATCCTGCCAGCCCGCAAATCCCTCTCATCTGTAATCTGAAGACAATAGGTTCCTGAAATTAGCACCTCCAAAACTAGGGTAGAGAGGGAAAAGGCAATGTAATGAGATATCTTACAATCCATATATTGTTAAATTACTCACAGCTCCAGCACATATGCTTGCGGTAAAAACAAAAAAAAAAGAAAAAAAAAAAAATATGGCGAATCTCCTGCTTGTCTCGTCGCGTTTATACCACGTTGTCATGGTATATTGACTGGCAGGCATAAAGCCAGCCTCACAGATAGATACTGCTAACCGTCGGTCTTGATGCTCTACTCTACAATATGAGGATGGACGTAAACCCAAGTAACATCCTAGTAATTATGAACGCCGGCAAACCTTTTTGAAAAGCCTGGAAGGTGGACACGAATCCCCTGAAATTATCAATATAAAAATACACAAAAGACAACAGGATAGAGAGCACACTTACCACCCAAGAATTTGGCCGCCTATCCACATCTGTGGACCCAGGTAGAAAAGAATCATATTACTGGGGATCTGGTAATGATGATGGTATTTAGAATGCGTGGCGTTGTAGAATAAGCAATCATTAGAGTTGGAACTGGGGTATCCAACCCACCGATATGGTCCCAAGTGACATGAGCAGTTGACCGGTGTTGAATTGATCTTGGCTAATGCCAACATCTCAGAAGACATAGTCTGTCAAGGCATTCCCTCTGCCAATTACATATATAGGATGAATACAAAAAAAATATTTATGCAAGGTATGCTTGACATGATGAAAGAGTGTATTAAAGAAAGATAACATTTCAACCACTGTGGGGATTACCGCCGTTGAAGGATGAGGTCGGACACACATTCGGGTGTACCTCACAATCCATACCTTGCAGGCACCCATCAGAGAATGAGAACCATCGTCTTTTCAGAGAAAGGCGTCAAGGAGAAGCAGAAACATCTTGGAGAAGCCGGAGTTCTCTCCCTCCCTCCCCTTCTGGTTCTTCCTCTGACGAAAAACGAAAACGTATTCTTCCAGACGTCTCTTGTATGACTTCTTTCCATTTTTCTCCAGCACCCATAGTTCAGAACAACTAGGAGAAGCAGTCAAGGGAGGAAATGGTATTACTATTGATTTGAACCATCATTGATTGCGCTTTCAATTTCAACTTTGCGTGTCCAGCTTGGTATACGGGTGTTGGGAATCAATTCGTTTGCCTGTCGGACTGTCTGGAAATGAACATGCAGATGGGAAACACCAGATATTTTGATTCGTGGTCAGTTTGCTCAGAAGCTTATCGGCGGACAAACCCTTGTTAGCGTTCCTTGCGGAGTTCTCCGTCTTGATGTCATTTTTATCAGTTTATCAAATTTAATGACATGGTTATGCATGCTTTCTTGCCAGTTGGTTTACACATATTCCGTAGACAGGAGGATGACAATAGCATCACTCCGTGAGTAGATACAATCAACCATCGCCAATTCAGCAGAGAGTGAACACATTGAGAATCTGATTGCAGATATTTTTTATATTTGCCGAGTCGATTGTGTGATCCCCCGCAAGGCTCATCATCCATGTCATCAAGCCGAGATACTTTGGTAGACTGTTGAATCCCCTGCGGAACATATGCGGGGTTCCTTGTCTTCTTTCCATGGTTTCCGGAAATAATAATCAATTATTCTTCTAAATGAGGTTCAATTTTCACCGGTTCCTGTGGATAGATAGGACCTTGAATCCTTGGTTCGGCATCGATTTTGTTTATTCACCCAACATTTTTGGAACGTCCCAATCTCGAACGAAAAACAAAAGAAAGGTCGAAAATGTACACACAATGATGACTAGTTTATACCAGAGGAAATTGCTGTCACCAGCCACATCGCGAAACGATAAATATTTACGCAAAATTCCAGCCACGAGGCTATTTACCTTCCCAGGTTTTCAGCTTGCCCGCATCAGCCCCTGGTCTGGACAAACAGGGAGGATTTCAATATCTGTACCATTTTTCAGTGGCGAATTTGAGGGTCTTTTCAGACAAGCCACAGCATGTCACGATTTCGCATGAGGCCCGAGAAATTGAACATGGCGAATGGCGGCACACGCCGGCTCGCCTATTGGTCTTGTCTGATCAAGCTGATTTAGTGCAAAAGCAAATGCTTTTGGCGGGCTAGGCATGGGCAGCTCCTCATCCTGTAACTTTGGTGATCTTGAGTGAGAGTGGGCCTTTTTTATTCTTCTGTAATTATTTTTTTTCTTTCTCAAGGGAAAGAAGAGAGGTGAGAGCTGTATTAATAAATGCATCGTTCCAGGTGAGACGCAATCGGGGGACGGCGGGCTGGGAGATGGTTTAAACAACCTTTGGTTGCACGATGGGTGTCTAGTTTGGTCTCTAGGCGTGCATACAAGAGACCCAAGAGTTTCTTGGCGATATCATTGGGCGATTTGGAAGATTAAAAATTGGGGTCGATGGGTGTAACGGAGGTTGCAGGGCTCGTTTGTTCGTGAGAAACCCGAGTTCGTTTAAACAGCCGCCCTCCCCCCCCCCAAACCGTCAAATCAATTTTGATGTTATCCGAAGACAGAAACACATGCATTTCCAAACGTATTTTTTCATCTACGTCACCCGCCTAGGTAATATTCTATGAAGTTTCTCAAACACAAGGGGAAATGTGGGAGAGGGTTTTATTTTACCCTCGCTCTGTCGCCGGGATCGTGGCTTGCCGTGCAAGTATGGAGACTTCGTGAAGTGTGTGGGTCATAACTGTCTGCTGCTGTCTGCTGTGAGGGCGCGCGTTCTTCGGTTATGCAATCGGCGCAGCCCTTCGGACCCCTTCCACCAGCTCAGCTGCACAGAAAGTCATGCCACTGATGCTAGATGAGCAGAAGAGGGGATCAAAAGCTAAATGTAATATTGAGCAGAGCGGATAGATGGCCAAGGTGTTCCATTTTTCATCTCATCAGCCACAGACTCGGGATATATGTGGTTTTGTGGGTAGTTAAATCCTAGCGGTTCTAGTTACATGGTAACTAGTTAATTAGTGACTTCTTATAGTTACCGAGATCTTGGGTGGGCTGGTATTTGAGTCAAGTTCTATCTGATGCTTGGGTAGATTTGCTGGTAATTCATCGCAATGATTGCACGACGGAATGAAGAACAGCGAGGTTGGGTTGGCCTTGTGTCAGGAGTGTATTTGCATCATCCATGGATAATTCGATGGTTAAACTCCCTGTATTCAATGAATCCTTGTCATTCCGCGCAGAATCCGGTTTGCAGGGGACGCTTCTTGTGGGATCTGGGCCTCTCCCCCCCATCCCAGGAAAAGCTCAGGTGTATTTGGTACCGACCGTACTTGGGTTTGCCCGCTGTCGGAATTAAACTCCCAACCCCCATCGCAAACTCAATTCTTGCTTCTGCTTCCTCCTCTGTCTTCTCTTCGCTTCCGTGTCGTCTCGTGTTTTTCTGCAGGACCACCACACTGCGGCTGTAAGTGTCCTGAGGCGACTGCGACGAGGAATTGAACGGCGAGAGAAAGAAGCTGAGAAGGAAGCGGCAAAAACTAATACCTGCTTGTCTCATTGTTGTTGACCGCGAGTCCTCTTCTTTTTTTTTTTTTTTTTTTTTTTTTTTTTTTTTTTTGGCCTTTCACCGTCCGCCATCCGCCATCCGCCATCCGCCATTCACCATCTGCCCTCTCTCCCCCTTATTCCATTGCTTCATAACCGTTTCCTCTATATCTCCCACTCACTCTCTACGGTTGTACCACTCAAGAACTTCAAGAACTTCCGAAAATCCTGCTGGCTGTGCACACAGTCGCTAACCTGCCTTCTCTCTCTTGGATCTTAGGACAGCACATTTGTCGCTCTTTCGCCCGTCGCCTTGCTTTGTCCGCTACGTCAGCTCCTATCAAGGGGGCCACGCTGTTTGACCTGAACGCAACCAATCAGCTATCCCAGCTTGACTGAAGCCTCCTGTTGACATTCTGCTGAGCTACAACTGTCGTTGCATCTATTTTTCCAAGTGGTCACAGGACCATCGCCACCCTCTGCTGCCGCAATTTGCTTGACAAAGGCTGAATTGAAGCAGTACGGTGCCATGGAGATACCACTGAATCAACCACCTGAGCTCTTGCCGGAGACTATTGAGAAGAATCTCGTTGAAGAGAGCAAGAAAGCCGGAGTGCCTGCATTCCAGTTTGATCCTGATGCCCCCAACTCCAAGAAAGAGGAACAGGTGAAAGCGGTTAGATATTGCTTCCCAACCCTCTTATCCTCACTAACCCTACCTTTCCGTGTGACCACTTTGCTGATCTCAGTTTTACGACGGCTAGGCGATACCCTCAAATTTATTTAAAGAGCGCGAAACAAAAGCTGTCGGCGTCTCTACTGATATAGTGAGTCTTTATCCTTTTACGAAAGCGATTTTTATGGGATTGTTGGCGCTTATAAAAATATCTGTACCCGCCAGACAAAGCAGACAAATGGTAATGGCGCCGTATCGGACAAGGCTCCTAAAGCAGTTGATGCCGGCAAAACGGAACCTCCAGAAACAAATGGCGAACTCACTGAAGCGGAAAGATGGGATCGGAACAGAACAGGGTGGACTCCACGCTTCCATATCCCAAAGGATGACTTTGATGAAGGAGAGACTCTCTTGGATCATCAAACCTTCATTGAGACAAAACTGGACGACAAATTTTTCGGAGGTTGGTTTCTATTTCTATGAGTCGTCTGTTTGAATCACCTTCTGGGCTCCTAACTAAGTATTTATATCATGATAGACTGGTACCACAACACTGGTGTGATAGTTTTTGCTTGTCTAGCATCATGGGTGATAGCATTGCTTGGCGGGGGCTTGGGATGGGTCTTCATAGTCATGGCTGCTTGCGGAACGTACTACCGCACCTCCATACGCCGCGTTCGACGAAATTTCCGAGATGATATCAACCGTGAGCTGGCCAAAAACCGACTGGAAACCGATTGTGAGACCTTGGAATGGATTAACAGCTTCCTCGTAAAGTTCTGGCCTATCTACGCTCCTGTCCTCTGCGACTCCATTATAAACTCTGTCGATCAGGTGCTGAGTTCAGCTACTCCCGCCTTTATAGACAGTCTCCGCATGAAGACATTTGTCCTTGGAAGCAAACCTCCCCGTCTCGAGCATGTCAAAACTTATCCCAAAACCGAAGTCGATACAGTGCTCATGGATTGGAAATTCAGTTTCACCCCAAATGACACGATGGATCTCACTGCGCGCCAGCTGGTTAATAAAATCAACCCCAAAGTGGTTCTGGAAGTTCGCATGGGGAAAGGACTGGTTTCAAAAGGCATCGATGTGATTGTCCAAGACTTTGCGTTCTCCAGTTTGATGAGAGTTAAAGTGAAGCTCCAAATCCCATTCCCACATATTGAACGCGTTGATATCTCCTTCCTTGGCCGCCCCGAAATCGACTATGTTTGCAAGCCACTTGGCGGTGATTATTTGGGATTCGACATTAACTTTATTCCTGGACTTGAGAGCTTCATCAAAGATCAGATTCATGGGAACCTAGGCCCAATGATGTACGAACCTAATGTCTTCCCTGTCGAAATTGCGAAGATGCTTGCAGGTAACCCTGTAGACCAAGCAATCGGTGTTGTCGGAGTCACCGTGCATGGTGCCCATGATCTCAGAAACAGTGACAAGTTCAGCGGCTCTGTGGACCCGTACACAGTAGTTTCTATTAACAGTCGGAATGAATTGGGCAGAACGAAAACCGTTCGGGATACTGCTAACCCGAAGTGGAATGAAACAATCTACGTCATCATCACATCTTTCACTGACTCTCTTACTCTCCAAGTCTACGATTGGAACGAGTTTCGAAAAGATAAAGAGCTCGGTGTTGCCACTTTCCCCCTCGAACCACTCGAAAAGGAGGACGAACATGAGAATTTGACACTTGAGATTCTGTCGAGCGGCCGACGAAGGGGTGCAATTATGGTTGATATTCACTTTTTCCCTGTCTTGGTGGGGAGAAAGCTCGAGAGCGGAGAGGTGGAGCCAGCTCCCGAGTCAAATTCTGGAATTGCAAGATTTACAATTGAACAGGCTAAGGATCTCGACGGAACCAAGAGTCTTATCGGACAACTTAATCCATATGGTGTCATGCTTCTGAACGGGAAAGAAATCCATGTGACCAATAAGCTGAAACGGACGAACAATCCAATTTTCCAGAATCCTACAAAGGAAGTTCTAATTACTGATAGAAAAACGGCGCGTTTCGGTATGATGATTAAAGACGACCGAGATCTTGCGACTGATCCTATCCTTGGAAGATACCAGATGAAGCTTAATGACATGCTGACATCGATGGAGAAAGGCCAAGAATGGTTCAACCTCGCTGGCGCGAAAACTGGTCGTGTCAAACTTAAAGTGGAATGGAAACCAGTTGCTCTCAGAGGAATAGTTGGTAGCGGAGGCTATGTTCCTCCCATTGGCGTTATGCGTATACATGTTCAGAACGCTAAAGGCTTAAGGAACGTGGAGACGATGGGCAAATCCGATCCGTACACTAGAGTCCTCCTCTCTGGAATTGAGAAAGCCCGAACTGTCACCTTCGCCAACAACCTCGACCCTGAGTGGGATGAGGTCCTCTATATTCCAATGCACTCGCCCCGTGAGAAACTAACACTCGAGGTTATGGATGAGGAAAACCTCGGAAAGGACAGATCGCTTGGTATGATTGAGCTTTCTGCATCTGACTACATCCATGAGGGTGAGAATGGCGACTATGAGGTAGACGATGAGAAGCAACAGATGTCCACCGGCCTTCGTCTTGGCAATCGTGGTCAGCCTAAGGGTATTCTTAACTATACCATTGCTTTCTATCCCACTCTTAATGTCTTCGACCCTGAAGAAGAAGCAGAGGAAGCGGCCACTCGCGAAGCGATGGCTGGTGAGATGTCCCTGGATGGACCAAGCAAGAGTGTCGAAAGTGACACCCAACCCAGCACCAGCACCAAAACGAACGGTCGGTCAAATATTGATACCGCTGACTCCAAGGAGCTGTCGGTTAATGGCGCCCAAGATGCGCCAAAGTCCCCTTCTATACCCAAAATTCGCCTCACACCCAAAGATATTTCCCAATATGGTATGTATTATTAAAGGACTTGGGCTAAGAGCTTTTGATTTTGTGGATTTCATGCTAATTTTCTTTCTTTTCTTATGTAAAATAGACTGTGGTTTGATCGTTTTCAAGCTCATCGACGGTCATTTGGCGCATTCGGACGTTCAACTCGAGGTTTTGATGGATGACCATGTATTCCCATCCTATACATCGCCCCGAACAAAGTCTAAAGAAACAGTGTTTGGCGACGGTTGGTTCCATCTATCTCTCCATCTAGTTTCAGAAAACGATTTCTAACAAGTCTATTAGTTGGCGACGCATTCGTCCGCGAACTTGAGGTGTCTAAAATCACCCTTCGTCTGGTTGACAAGACTGACACCAAAGGCGAGGGTGAAGGACACCATGCTTTAGCTAAGCTTACTGGGCCGACACTCTCCACTCTCCAACAATGTTTGGTGAGTATCCCACCTTGCTTGCTCTCACGTTACGATTGTGACATATTCTGACTTGTGATATCAGTACAAACCAACGGAACTAACACTCAGGTCAAATGACGGCTCAACGAGCAAGGTTACGGTCAGCTTAAAATACATTCCAGTGAAAATGAAATTAGACCCTAGGGAAAGCATCAATAATATGGGAATACTGCGTGTAGACGTTTTGGATGCTGCTGATTTACCATCTGCGGACCGCAATGGATACAGTGATCCATACTGCAAGTTTAAGCTCAATGGCAAAGAGGTATTCAAGACTAAGGTACAGAAGAAGACCTTGCACCCTGCCTGGAACGAATTCTTTGAATGCTCTGTCAAGTCCAGAATTGGCTCGCTATTGAGACTCGACGTGTACGATTGGGATTTCGGTGACAAAGCGGATTATCTAGGTGGCACTGATATTGATCTTGAAGGTCTTGAGCCGTTTCAAGCCACAGAAATTTCATACCCGCTCGATGGGAAATCTGGCGCAGTTCGACTCAAGTTTCTTTTCAAGCCAGGGTATGTCATGCGTTTGCGGCAAGGTTCTTCTACATTCTCTGGCACATTTGCGGCACCAGGGAAGATTGTTGGTGCTCCCGTCAAGGGAGTCGGAATAGTTGGTGGCGGTGTTATTAAAGGAGCATCGTTTATTAAACACAGTCTTCTTCGTCGTGGCGGCAGCAGCAGCAAGGACGATGATGATAGCAAATCTATCACTACGCCGGAGCCATCAGGAAACGAAAACCTTGCAGTTCACACCCTGGATGGCACCCCTAGTAACACACCTCAAAGAGCATCAATACTGTTTGATGGTGCGACAGCTCCATTGACACCCACAACAAGCACCCCTCAGACACCCCACAGCCGTTCTCGCAGCATTGCCTCTCAATTTGGAGATAAAATTGGACGAAGTGGTGGAGCCAAGGGGGACACGGGGACAGCGAACTTTACGATTGTTTCCGCATCAGGATACCCATCAGGAACCAATGTGCGTGTAATAGTCAAACAAATAACCTCCAAGGGAGCAAGAGAAGTCCACAAGTCCAAAGCCATAAAGTCAGCCCACCACTCCGGATCGTCAACGCCTACCACGCTGCCTGTAGTGCAGTTTGACCCGTCTCACGAAACTTTCAAGGTTTCGAATGTCGCTGCAGATACGCAGTTCCAGTTGCAGGTGAATAACCATGCTACCTTTGGGTCAGATGAGGTGTTGGGAGAGGCACTGTTCTTCCTTGATGATCAAGGCTCCAGTTCCGGCAAGGAACATACTGTGAGGGTTGGTAATGGTACCATCACGCTGAAATCGTCATATGTTTCATCTGAGACTTCTTCTTTGCGTCCTGGTACTTCGTACACGGCGGCGGGAGAGAAGAATGAGGATGGCGTCGATAGCCCGGAGAGGAAGCCTAGGAGAAGTTTTCTGGCGAAACGATCAGCGAGTGGAGCCTTGCCAATATAGGCGGTCAACGGGGTTAGTGGTTGGGGGATTCTCTCTTCTTCCTTTCTTCTTTTCGTGCATGAATTATGCATTTTTAACTTGAATATGTCTTTCTTTGTTCTTTTGTGTCCTTGATTTTCTTTTTCATTTCTCATCTTTTGGTTTTCTGGGGTGGGCGTACTGTCTATAACGTCTTTTTAATATTTTAGTTCCTCTCCTCCCCCTTTTTCGGGTTCAACGTTTTGTCGGTTCTCTCGTTAATAATTTTATGGGATATTCCCCACATCGAGTCATTATTATCGCTTACGAGGGAGGTCGTTTACTCATTTTGTGTGTCTACGTGTTTTTCCATTAATTCTTCCTGTTTCTTTTCACTTTCCCCGTCGAGCCTTCAGGCTTTGATATCCTCAGGTTCATGTTCATGCTACGACGGTGGCTGTTCTATGCCTCGCACATCTATGGATCCGTTCAGGATGTATATCTGGGAAATAAAGTTGGCATTCTGTTTGGGGGGGGGGGGGGGGAGAAGGAGAAAAAAGACATTTGGGAACCCCTATAATTGCGACTGTGGACAAAAAAAATCCCCAAAGGGTAAAATTAAAAGGGGGGATCTCTTAACGATTTTCCGAGGCGTTTTATGGCTATTATTCTTGAGCAGGATAACCGGCTTCTAATTCCCCCCCCCCCCCCCCCCCCCCCGGCAAACCATCCATTCATTACCCACAATTTCCCCTTCCCCTCTCTCTCCCCGGGGCGGCGGGCGACTCCCGTCCGCCGAGGCAATTGTGCGATTTTTGCGGCATAGCCGGGCAGAAGTGGTTGGATGGATCTGCACCGGGATCTCTATATAGAAAGACACTGTGTTACAGAGAAGGAGGAAAGCTGCGTAGCTCGAATATCCATCACATCTGTTTAAATGCGTTCATAGCTGCTGCAGATATTTCTCTACAATATCCAGTAATTTATATATATACAATATCCAGCAGCCACGGAGTACTCTCCCGATAAGCCTCCCAGTTGACAGTGTTCTATACAGCGCATCAAAAAAAAAAAAAAAAAAAAAGGTAGTAGAAGATCCATGACAATGACAACCTTCACAATCCCCAGATCATCCCTCTCAACCCTTACCGGCAAGACAGTCCTCATCACCGGTGGCTCATCGGGCATCGGTCTTGAGACCGCTGAGCTCCTCCTCTCACTCTCCCCCACAAACAACATTGCCATTCTCGACATACAGCCGCCAGCCTCTACATCGCGCTTATCGGCGCCCCCAAATGCCAACCGCACCCTCTTCCACAAATGCGACATAGCGTCCTGGCCGGAGCAGCGCGCAGGCTTCGCCGCCGCCATCTCCCGTTTTGGCCGCATAGACGCTGTCTTCGTCAATGCGGGAATAGCTGAGTATGGCGATCAGTTCTTCCGAGACGGCTTGGAGGGCAGGAAAGGTGGGTTGGAGAGGTTCCGCATGCTGAAGGAGCCTGATAGGAGGGTTCTGGATGTCGATTTGAGGGCGGCGGGGGATACGCTTAAGTTGGCGATATATTGGATGAGGAAGACGGCGGTGCGGGACGTGGCTGGGCAACAGAAGGGGGTCGGCAGCATTGTGATGACGGCGAGTTTGGCGGCATATTTGGCGACCACCGACGCGCCGGTTTATAGTGCTGCGAAGCATGGTATGTATGCATATTTTCCGTGAAAGAAAAGTCTTTTTTTTTTTTTTTTTTTTTTTTTTTTTATTATTATTATTATTTTTATATACAGTCTTGGGATGTGTCGAAACGGTTGAAGATGTTGCCCGGAATTTTTAAGACAGTAATATTCATCTATATACGAGCCCCCCCCTCCAATTGCTAACAGCCAACCGCGCCCCATTTTTCAAGGAATCGTGGGTCTCATGCGCGCCTTGAAAAACGACCTCGCAAAACACAACATCGCCATCTCGGTCGTAGCACCCGCCATTACGCTGACACCCATTCTCACCAGCCCAGGCCGCCGCAACAACGCCGACCCGGCCGAATGGGCAGCCACTATGGCCAAGAGCGGCGTGCCGATCAACAAGCCCGAGAGCGTTGCTCTCTCGGTTGCTCATTTGATAAACCTCGGCATGCAGGCGAATGGGCAAGGGCTGCTGGTGCAGAAGGATAGGATGGTCGATGTTGAGCGGGGGATTGCGAAGACGAGGGACGCCTGGATGGGAAAGGAGATGTTGGATTTGTTCCGCGGGGGGAGGTCGGCGCTGGTGACTGAGAATAAACTTTGAAGAGCGGACCGGGGGCCTCTTGAAGTGATTTTACCGTAACTAAATGTTATACGGGTGTTAGTTATAAAGCTGAACCTATTCGATTTTGCTTTTCTTTCTTTCTTTCTTTCTTTCTTTCTTTTTTTTTTTTTTCTTTCTTTTTTCTCATCGCGATCCCGCTCCGTATGCGGAAAGTTAATAATATATAGATATATATTAAAAATAAAATATGACTATAACCTTTTGAATAATAAGCTAATCTTGCAGCAGTTAGTTATTAGAACCATACATACATATATATCCATCCCCAAACAAGATCTCAACAACGGGAGAAGGATGATTGCTTGGCTTAGTAAGCTGTCCAGAACATGGAAAATCTTGGTTTTTGGGCGGTTTGAAAGTTGGATGCTTCGCTTTGTGGTTCGCAATCATTTCATCATTCATCATTCATCATTCATCATTCAATTTGCTTGCAGAGTGTGGCTGGTTATTACCCCTTTCCCGGTTTCGTCTTCTAACGATTCGAGAAACAAGCCTGAGTCTAACCTCAAGACTACCTTTTCTCACCTAAGCTCAATGCATCCCAAGGGGACAACAGAGATCTAGAATTATAATAGTAGGAACTCGGGAAAAAAAAAAAAAAAAAAAAAAAAAAAAAAAAAAACCATCCGGTTCCATTCTAGCTTCATGCCGTCCCTGATATTCACTCTCTCCTTGACCTCCTGCACGCTGGTAACGAATTAGCCAACCATGCCATGCACGATGGGCCATCATTGCGTCTATCTGATGCAGAGCTAAGATAATGGCCGTAGAGCGCAAAATAGAGCGTATCTACGATTCTGCAAAAACCAATGACCCTGTTACACGTTCATGCACCTCTTCTAAAAATAATCTTACGACCTCTGCTGCTGCTACTGCTACTGCTACTGCTGCTACTGCTGCTACTGCTGCTACTGCTGCTACTGCTGCTACTGCTGCTACTGCTGCTACTGCTACTTATAACATACCCGCATGCCCAACCATCTACCCTTTTGATACCTCCAAAATACTTCCGTCCCAGGCTGCGGCTTCTTCACCACGCGCATGCGCCGCGTCCTGGCCACGCTGGACTACAGGCTGGTGCTGGGCAGTGTGTATCCGCACGATCCACAGATTCCCTTTTGGAGCGTCAATGCCTGGCATGTCCTGAGCATGGTGAGGCCGGGTGCCATCATCGTCTGTCATGATGGGAGGAGCTGGATGGCGCCGATGCTGCGGAGAGTGCTGCCAGTGTTGAAGAGGAGGGGGTATCGGGTTGTTACGGTCACAGAGTTGTTGAGGGGGGTGTAAAAGTGTTCTTTTTCAAGGGATGGTAGTTGGGCTTTGATGAGACGGGGGAGGTATAGAAAACCTATATGAGAGGAAAATATGAGAGGTCTAGTGTTCATATCTACTTCTTATGTAATGACCATCACGCCTTGAAGTCGACTCTTCATGCCCAATCATCGTACTTCAGTAACGGGGACATCACCATTCGTGATGTCGCGAAGAAACACGGGGTCAGGCTGGTATAGCATGACATGGAAGTGCTCAATCCCATGGATGGACTTGAGAGACTTCCAGTTTTTGAACCAGATAACCTACAGAAGTGGGTTGGCATGTCAGCAGGTGCAGAAGCAGTGGAGATTTCACTGTTTGGAAGAATGGGAGAACGCGGAGAAAGGAATAGGAAAGGATTCCGGTCCTAGGGGAAAGGAATGGCGTTGTTCTCCCCACACCTTCTCAGCAGGCATTTTAGAGCGAAAGGTTCTTTCGACAAACGCATCGATCTCCCTTCTCATGCGCGGAGTCAAGTCATCTGTAGCTGGATCATCCTCAAGCTCAAACTTGGTCCAGACGACAAGGTGGACGATGTCCTCTTCCACTCCGTAGGGCCAGTCATTGTAGAGGATCTTGAAATCGTCTATAGACACGACGCATCTCATTGTAGATGTCCAAGTCAGTAAAGCAAGAGAAGATATTATGTGCCTCATCAAACCGGGAAAATAAAGGGTGGGATTGCAGTAGAAACTACACACCAGGATGTTCAAACGGTCTTTGGCCCCTTGGTTCCAAGTCACCTTCCCATCCCAGTCGCTTCTGAACCACAAAACTCAACAAAGAGCCATATGTAGCTTTGACTCTGGCAATGAATTCAAGATACCTCCTCAGATCAGAGGGGGCACGCTGTAGGAGATGTATTTGATTCGAGTCTATTTTTTATTTTTTTATTTTTATTTTATTTTTATTATTATTTTATGTTATCTCCCAATGCCTTCCATCTATGGTTAGCAGAACATAATAAAACTCACCAACTATAGTTGTCACCCGCTCCCAGCTCTGCCGCTGATATTGCGCATCCGGCATAGAGAGACACTGTATTGACTTTTGAGGTAGGTTGCGAAGGTATTCTGGACATTCAGACGGCCACTGGGACCGGGAAACATTAACCAGCCAGTAGGGCAGCGGTTCAGCTTCTGGTTCTGATTTTGGAGCTGGGAGTTGGTTTTGGTCTGCGGCTTTCTTGTCAAGGGGTTTAGGCATATCCCCAGGTACAACAATAGTTGCGGCCGAAGTTTCTGGAGGGAAATGAGGGGCGTTGATGTGAGGCATCTTGGCCATAAATAAAATATCAGATAGCGGAAGGGCGGAACGAAGGAGAGATTATGAAGGTGATAAGCCGAGCTAACTACGTGTTCAATTATTAATTGAACCAAAGCATGTCAACTCCCCAACTTCTGACCAACCCTCAGCCTCCCTATTATTCTAGTGTTGCAGGTTGCTGTTTCGAAGATGGGGGGGCCTGAAATGGTTGATTGAGATAATTCGTCGCAGTTATTTATACTCAGGAGCCAGCCCTGAACAACCATTAAAGCTATTCTTAGGTAACTAACTATTCCACTTGGCGATTTACTGGTCAAAATCCAAGTTAAAACAATGTAACAAGCTTCCCCACCCCCACCCCCGACTCAATTGTTAAACTAAGTGATCACCAACCAGTACATCTACCCCGCCTATTTTGAAATATATAAATAAATAAAAACAGAATAAAATATATAAAGCCAAGAATATAAGATTATAAAAATTCCTTAAATTTAATTATTAACAATGATATTCCTTAATATTTTCTTTGTAGCTGTAATAATACGTAGAAGCTTACTTAGCAACCGTGTCGTTTCACGCGGCAATTTCTATGACGAAGGAAGAGTCAGATCAAGGTTAGCCCTTATCTACCTAAAGGTTATAAGTTCTTCATCTATTGCGATGCCCGCATGATGGAAATGACCTTTAGCGCTCTGTATCGTTCAAGCAAAATCGCCAAAACCTTGCCCAGGAGCTTTCTCGTAGAGGTGCCAGTTTTTCTTTAATAAAAAAAAAAAGGACTTTATAGCTCCGCAAAGAAATCTTCAATCGGGGTTGGTTAAAAGACCATCAGCTCTTACTTGTGAAAATTGCAACAAAAAGCCCAGTTTCTCAGGATCATGAGTGTGTCAGAACGGAACAAGACAGCGTTGTCAACTCTGTCAGAAGTTGAAAGATGTCAAAGGCATATATGTGAAACGCTATATCAAATTTTCCCAGTGCAACCAAAGTGCAACAGTCTGCAATGTAGAGAATTTATCTCAATATTAGACTGTTTGTCTTTATTTTTCTTTTGCAGTCAGCTAATAAACTGTGAATTATAACCTGTCTGATGATATTTTAACACTTCTAATGAGTCTATGAGTGTAAACATTTCTCTATTACCATTTTATCACTGAATTGCAGAAGAATAATCTAACTAACTATCATTTCCCCTTCACTGCAGCTATATGAATATGACTGAATAACACTGTGTATTCATATTCAGATGTTATATATTGAGGTGTTGCAGTTGCCAGCAGGCCGATAATCACCTTATCTGATCATCAGGCCGTAGCGAGCGAAGCATTGCTTGTTGTAGTTAATTTAAATTTTCGTGGTTGGTTCAACTCGGCTTGTTAGATTAAGTTACGGTAACTAATAACACTCGAGTCTGTGATGACTCAGCAGTAGATAGAGTTGCAGGAGTTTCCTTTTCCTTAAAACCACAAACAAACATCAGTCAATCAACCGATCGTAGATTGGATTAACTCCAATCTTCCCTTCCCCATCCCCCCTCCTCGCCCCCTAAATACTCACAAATGGCATCCCCCATTCCCCAAGTCCCTTACCCGCCTAACTTCCGGCCCATCGATACTCACAATCCTCACCCCATGCGCCAGCATTTCCCTCTTAGCCTCCTCCCACCCGTCGCCCGGATCCACACACTTCGTCCCTTCCTCCACAACCATGGTCCTAAACCCCCTCGCCTCCGCATCAATGGAAGTGCTCTTGACACAATAATCCCCCGCAACCCCAACAACGTAAAGGTCGGAAACCCGGTGTTCTTTTAGCACCGCATCAAGATCTAGGTTCACGCCTCCGCTCTCGACGCAGTTGTTCCCGAACGTGTCTACAAAGGCGGATTTCATGTCCGCGCGCGCGTCCATGCCCTTGCGAATATTCACGCTGATTTTGTCCGTTTGGATTTCGGGGATGATGCATGCGCCTGGCGTGTTGGCGACGCAGTGGACGGGCCACAGGCGTTGGAGTCGGGTTTCTGTTTCTGTTGTTGTGTGCTTATCCTTGTCCTTGTAGGAGGTCGTGGTGTGATTGATGGTGGCGGGTCTGACGGGGTTGTGAACGGCAATGATGGATTGGAAAGGGATGTTGTTGGGGGCAGGGTGATTGACGGCGAAGGAGATATGATTTGTTGGATGGAAGTCTTGCGTGGAGATTTTGAGAACGAAGCCGGGGAGGTAGAGGAGGGAGTTGATTATCGGGGCGAGGGCGCGGGCGCCCTGGATGGCTAGAGAGCCATTCTGGTAAGGGCGCAACAGATCATGTTAGTGGGTAATGTGTACATATAGACATAAGATAGATGTTAGAAGGGCAGATATGGCTAAATAAGCTTCTCTGCTGTGAAGTGGTTGGAGTTGCTGGCGGGACACACACAGGCGGACAAAAGTCCTCTTGCATATCAACTACGATCAATGCTGGCCGAAACGAAGCGGCAGTCGCCTCCCCAGGGATAATGTCATTTGAAGACATTATTTTATTTGGCGATGCGGGTTTGTTCACGTCTATGTGGTTTAATTGCGACCCCGCGCTGTAGGAGAGCTAGGTTGGAGGAGAAATGATGTATGGATGTTGATTGGCGAGATGCTAAAGCATTCTTATCGACACAGCTCATGGCACGTGAGGGGACTGATGATCCTGGGTGGTGGGTAGGAGAGTGGTGACTGAGGGGGAACAGATGGTACCAACTTTTTTTTTTTTTTCTTCTTCTTCTTTTTCTTTGATGAAAAGGGGTGGTCATTTAGAGGTTACTTTTTCATCGAACAGTTGGATTGGAATTGAACAAAGGTGTTTGTTTTGAGCAGTATTACCCTGGGCATGATGATATCTCATGAGAAGAATGAAATAATGGAAACTTAGGCCAATAGATGTTACATTACTTACTTTTCTTGACTCTCAACATGACTATGAAGAAGAAGTGAAGTTACCCCTGATTAGACATTCTGTGTGTGTGTGTGCACTAGCGAACCATAATCTACATATCTTGGGGGGAGGCATGTGATTATGTATTAGTCACATTTTAATGTAACATAACTGATGTTAATCTGCTACTAAACAGTGGATAAACCAATGAGTGACAGATTCTCTTTTCAAAAAAATCAGCAAATATTCAACTCAACTATCTTCAAGCACATCATTTCTTCATGTTTTTCATTCATAATGTCTTTATCTCAAGAATCTTGCATACAGTTGGTCATTGCTGCATATAAATTCACAATATATATCAAAGATTAAAGCTGTAAAGTTATATGAGATTTTTGAAGTTCTTCTATGCAAATGACTTGCTGATATCAAATCACATTCAGAAACAACAAACAAATAATTGTTACGGTGCAGTCGCTGGTAATATGGAGTCGAGCCATGACAATAATCACAAATTGATAGAGATTGAAGAAAAAAAGTCTTCTCAAGCAATTACTGAATGCAGATAAGTAAAATTTTTCAACCTGACTGAAGTTTATGTGTGAAGCAGTACAGATTCTGCTTTAAATATATATTTCAATTTTATCATTACTTTTAAAGTTGAAGTATCTAGATTCATTCAACATTATTCTTAACTTTGTTATAGAAAGGTAGAAGAATCCAAAGATTATATAATAATAATTAGAGATAACTAGTCAATATATAAAGCTATCCAAGAACATAAGATTCATGAAAATGATATTAAAAATTTGGTAAAACTGACTTTATAATAAAACTTTATTAATATTTTCAATATTTAAGCATGTTGGTTGTTGGATACATTGAATATTTGATACCCGCTGTTGGTCCTCGTTAACATAATCCCATGTCACTGCCACCCCCGTTATTCTCATCTTCACCCTGAGAAATTCCTCTCAAAAAAGTTTTCAAACCACAACATGTCAATTCACCGTTGTTCCCCTCCCCCTCCACAATTCCAAGGACTCTCTCCCTGCTTATCCAAGAAACGGTAACTATATTGGGTCCCTGCAAGTACGTCTCCATTGTGCAAACTACGCAAATCAGTGCTCCCCCACCTCCGCTTCTGTCCTACAGCAGACATCCCGGCCCCCAAGAGTCAAAAATCCGGAACTCAACTTACATCACAATGAGCAGAACGTATACCACTTAGTTCCCGACATTGCCGGACATGCTTATATATCGAAAACACTGCGGAACATTGACAAAAGTCGGTAAATAGGGTGATTGGTTGGACCGCTGGAGTTGCTTTTCGTTCCTTTTTCTTTCTTCCTTTGCTCCATCTATCTTGCTTGAGAGGTTCAACTTCACATACGCCGTAGACAGTGGAGAAGTTTCACCAACCAATGGTCCAACCACACCCTGCTTTTCCAAGGTTGTTTCCGTTCACGCACGAGTAAGGATTTCTCCCCTTCCGCGCAACTCATTTTGCCCTAGGACTTATCTACAAACTTGCTAAATAGGGAGATGCCCGCGCTCTCACTTGCAGGTTACTAGTGCTGTCAGGGATCATCAGAGCAGTTTCTAACATTCAAGGAATCACCTTTGAATATCCCAGGTCTGCGGTGGATAGCTGCGACAAAGGAAAATTACTGATTTAATCAATGGTCCAGAAAAATCCCAATCTTTGTTCCAAGACTGTTGTAGCTCTGATGTGGAGCCGGGCTTTGCTTACTCATCCCTGAGTACAGAGTAAATACTACATCAAAAAAACCTGAAGTGCTGAAAAGACTTCCAGCTTTAAGCTCTTCTTTTTTACATCTTCGGAATAGATACAGTGTATCTGAAACCCATGACTCATCTTTTTCCTCCTGCTTTTGAATTACCAGACTTCGTAAGAAATGAAGTTTGCGCATTAAACCTAAGAATGAAAAATTAAGAACTTGAACTTGAAAATCTTTGCATGGTAGATGGATGAAAGTATATGGAATGAAAGAATGTACTTTCATTTCTCTACAATACAGGGAATTTTGATCACAACCCTGTCTTGCTTGCGGCACGGTGATTGAGAAGGGGGGAGACTGAATAGTAAGATTTAAAAGAAGACAGGAAATTGGGAAATGAGAAAGTAAATGTGTGGGATTTTTTTTTTTTTTTGGCAATGTTGAAGCGGCGTAGTGATAACGCGATATCATTCCAGTGATGAGAGGGAGAAATTGAAAATTAAGGCTCTAGTGGCAGCAATAAAGGAGGGATTTAGAACCCAACCCCCCCCCCTCCACAACGAAAATAGGCAAAATCAAAAGGGGATGAAATTTCAAATAAGACAAAAGACGCAGAGGCGTTACAATGTTGGTGTCAATGACAAGTTGTGATGCAGGCAGATCAGAATTAGAGGTCTGTGTTCTGTTGCAAGCATAAGTTCATAACTATAAAAATATAATGCCTGCTGAAAAAGTTACCTCCATGAGTCTGAGTAAGATAAACCCATCACAGCAAATGCAGAATGCAAAGTAGGAAATTATTGAGATATCATGGCATATGCAAAAGGGAGTTGAGATTACTGGACAGTGACTTGATGAAAAAAAAAAAATGTTATCAAATTCACTGCAGATGACGGGGAAGGCTTTCAGAAGCCTCAGATTCTTCTTCTTCTATTGAATGAGTATTTCTTTTAAGCTCTCTCCATTTTATTTCGCATTTAGATGCAGAGAAATTTCCCGATCCAAACTCTTGCATCTGCAATGAAGGGGAAATAAGAAAAGGAAATCAAGGAAGGGTGAATCCAATAAAGTCAAAGTAATGTGAAAACACAGAATAAATAAAAAAAATTTCAATCTCATGTAACTCTAACCTTCTGTGATATAATCTCAAACTTTGACGATTCCCAGAAAATTATGCACCTGATGCAGCGCTTGGATCTGCAGAAGGGTATGAGACTGATATACCCTGGGAAGCTAGATGATGGGGGACACATACTCACATTGTTCTCGGACCAGTGCTGAGAGCGCTGCTTCATTCGTGTCATTCGCATTTGAAGACAAGATACAGAGTAATTCTTCCCATACTCTTCATTGGTAGCCGTCACGACGTCTCTCCAGGACAGCTTCTTCTCCTTTCTCAGTAATCGAATGGTGTGGTTTTCGCGTTCAATTTGCTCTGGCTTTGATCTTTGCGCAGAATTCCTTTGCGACGGCCACGATCGGCGGCGCTTTGTAGTGTCGACATTTTGGCTTCTTCCCCCCTCGAGCTGTAATCTAAGAAGCCCATCGGGGTTTGGCGCAATATTCACATGGACCCTTAATTGGGTAGATCGAGGAACCGAAGCATTGGATTGCATCACACCGTTAAGGGCTCGAGGACCAAACCCTTCAACGGCTTCTGATGAAAAATTATTCTCTGGCACTTGGCAATGGTGATGGCCAAAAGTGAAGATGTCGGACTGGAAATCGTTTGCGGTAGACAGCACGCTCATACCCAGGCCGGGATGATTTGCGGGATCCCCAATACTACGATTCGAGATCTCATGATGGTTATGCGACTGGCTAAGCGACGGGCTATGCCTTGCTTTAAGAAAAGTTGAGTCACAAAGGCTGATTGGTACTGGCATGGAAGATTGTGTGTGCACTCTAGTAACACATGATTTCGTGGGGGTTGGGAAACGCTAAAAAGCTTCAGTATTAGCCAGTAGGCATACCATCTACTGAAAGTAGGCGGTTGTGCACCAAATGAAGAGAAACCCATTCCGGTTCCAGAAATCCCTCATTGATATCGGTGGCTCTACCGTGGTAGGATAGATCATTCCAAGCGGTAGGGATTCCATTGGAATGCTCTTCACCTGCGGTATACTCCCCATGTGGTGAATGTTCCTCGGATGCCATTTGGTCAATGACGGGCGGGCACAAAACGCCGGTTACTGATTTCATGTTTTTTCGACTGAGGCAAAGGAGGGTTTGGAAGTCAGCCGAAGAGGCAACACGGCAAGAACACACGAAATTGAGTTGAGGATAACTTCGAAGTTAAAAGGGTGTAAGAGGAAAAAGAGGGTTGGCTTTTTTTATATGTCCAAGTCGATATATACTTTATTTCTATAGGTAGCTCCGTGGTAAAAAGAAAAGGATGGCTTCCGAACGATGCACACTAAACATCCAAGGGCCGGAAAACGACATCTGAATTGCAGTGATGGGACGGAAGTACCTGGCAAGGCTTTGAACAGTGCATGGGGCCCTCCAAGAAGCACACTTATACGGCACTTTGGACAATGAAGGTCCCACTTGGAATAGACTGTGCCACCTGAGAATGGTGAGCGGCGACATGGTGGTTGAACTGGAGCGTCTGCACACCTACGCTCGACTACAGCTTCTCGTCAGGGATTTCGTCCATGCAGAGCCGGAGTATGAGAAAAAGCACCCCAAAGGTCCTCAATGGTCCCGTCCAGGGTTGAAAGAAATGAAAGACGCTGATTCGATTCCGGTGGGCTGGGTAAGGCATAGTCATTCCGGATAGGAGGTGTTGACAAGATGAGCTTGGGAAGAATGTAACTACATGATACACCCTCCTACGTTCCTTGCTCTAACTACTTCAACCCTAGGCCCAATCACAACCATCCGGGAAGGTTTATTGGTCAAGGGGCCACTGATAATGTCTAGATACCGAGAATTGGCTCTGGAGTCGTCTTTCAGTGTCACATTAGCTGATACACCCAAGATAGTTCATGATATCAGTTCAAGAGACAACGAGGTCGAACTGAAGAAAGCAAAGCACGTGGTTAGTTAGCACAAAGAGATGAGAAATCTTGATTATTTTATTTACTTTTACTTTATTTTATTTTATTTTCACCCACGTCCATTTGACACGCTATCTGCATCGACTGAAAGAAGCTAGTCAAGAAATAAAAAGCAAGCAATGACGGGGCTGATATACGGCGCAGACCACAGCGCCCGGCTTGAAGTTGGCTGGCCCTGTAACTCTGATGTCCAAAATCAGAGTGGCCAGTGAGAGACCATTGCCAGTTCTAAAAAGCTGCAGGTCTTAATTCTTCGCATACCAGCACCATCCCACTTCAGGGCCTTGCTGGAAACGGGGGGGGGGGGGGGGGGTTGGGGCTGGGAACCAAAAAAAAAAAGGAATGGGAGAATTGGGGACAAAAACACCTCCGGGAATTTTGGAAAAAAAATTTTTCCGGGGAAAACCCCAAAACCTCCCCAGGGGGGGGGACCACCCGCCAAGGGAGTTTAATTTTCGGAGATCCCCCCCCC